TTCAAAGTATTATGTGGAAAAAAAAGGATTATGCCATTTTTAGCAACAAAAATTCACATTAGCCATAAGCTAAGGCAAATATTTATCCGGTTGGACAGAGCTAAGTGCGTTTTAACTAGTCTCACGGCTGACGGCATTTTAAAAAGGTCCGTACAGCCTCGCAGTTATGGCATAATGCGAATATAATTTGACAAAGGGAAACTAAATGAGGGCAGAGAGGAATTATTTCCAGGAGAATGTGCTGGTGGGATAGACAAATTTGATGTCATTTGTTAAGCTTCTAAAATCTTACGTTGTGAATATTTTCTTGTTTACATGCATAGCGCTGTCAGCGATGGGGGTACGAAATTATGGCTTTATTTGCAATGTGCGCTCGAATTCTCTCTCGAAATCTTTTAGTTTGTTTTGGGATTGCTTGACGCCATTACCCCGATTCAAACAGTTGCTTTTCAAATATTTCTATCTTTGATTCTTTTAAGAATTGTTAATAACATGTGAACAAACATTGCAACAATTTGCTAGTAGACAATTTCAAAATAATTTTAAATTTAGTAAGCAAATTAAATGTACTTGCATTCTCTTTTTTCTCCGCTCTTCGCTCCGCTAGTGCATATGACGGTAGCCTTACGGAGAGATGATATTTGTATTTGTGATCCTCGCATGACTGATGGAGGCTTGGTCACGTGATTAAGGTCCCTCGGAAAAGTCCCTTTGTTTACTTGGCAATCTACAGGACAGAGTTGTTGAATTTTCGTCATTTTAGAATAGGGATGTTAAATTTTTTAACATTTTTCTTTTGTTAATATGACATATAACTTAATTGTTGTACGCGATGACGGTGTGGATTGATATTCGAGAAGACGTTGGGTTTATATTCAATTTATTCACAAATTGTTGAATAATCTGTGGGGTAAGCTGAAAAATTGCGATATTCCCTAAAATACTCCCTTAAGAAAAGAAATAATATGTATACAAATAATTTTGTTCTGTAAGACTTGTGTCTATACTGGCTAGACGTAATGGTGTTCTTATCCTTGCATTTCCGAGGGTATTTTCGGTAGTCGCAATTGCTTATCCTTGTCCATTTTCCTCTGTAGTTACTTATCCTTTATTTTTTGGCGGTTCCATTTTTTTTAAATACAAGTACATAATTTTATTTAAAAAAAATTTAGTAGGCTTTGACAGCTGATTAACGGTGTTGCAATGGCATGTAGATTCGTGTTTCTGGATAGAGCGACTGTTGGCCTGATAGGTATTTAATATTCGTACAAATAAATGAAGCTAGCACTAGGAAAACCCTGTGTCGCGGGTGCCATGGACACATACATAATAGGCAACCACAAATTACATCCAAACTCACGAGAGAAATAAATGTAAATCATACACATATTTCTCCCGGCCTGGAAATCGAACCCAGGACCTCTGCATGGCAGTAACCGGCATGTAACCGTTCGTCCACGGGGCAGAATAGTATCTATGGTTAACGAGAAAATTAAAAAGATATCTATTTCGTTGTAGTTACTTGTCTTTTACATTTATTATACACACACAATATTTCTGTACAGTCAACATGAAAATGAACTTGTGTAAGTACAATACATACTTTTAAAATAAAAGAAGATTTGAAGCTAGATTTAAAAGAAATAACAGCATTTAAGTAAATGTGTGCTTGTTATTAGAAACATTCTTTAAGCTGTTTATTTTTAATAACAGTACCTACATACACGTTAAAGTAGAAGGTAAAGTGTACGTTAAAAAAAGATACTATTTTTTTAACAACCTGAAAACGCAACGCCATTTCACACTAATCATGCCGCCTGACGCAAAATTGACGATTTTACGACGAGCACATTTGACAAGCGTCAACTCAATGAAACGAAAAGGACAGTGTTTTTATGCTCCTCAAAATTTCGACCGGGGGGCTTGCTTGTGGGAGGCCGACCTAAATTATGCAAACACTAAACTCTTGTAAGGGTCTCTCGGCGTCGCTGCTAGTCCATGAAGTGGTAAGCGAATGTGTGTGTATCTAAGTGTAGGTATCGTAGTTATTTGCGATAGGCGCATGCCATGCCCACAGCCAATTAACACAGCTTCAATAAGCTGTGTAATGATACTCGAGTGGCCGCTTGATAAATAGTCTAGTGTAACTCTCGAAACTGATGCATATATAATCAATTTATATATATTTAGTTGAGCAATATATACTGTGTGTAATTGTGATTGTTCGTGCGTTACTGTTTCTTAACTGCGGAGTAAGTTGAAATAGGTCTTTTTATATTATCAAGAGCCGGGACGAACAAGTATTGCGCCTGGTGGTAAGCGACACGCGTATCCATAAATGTTGCACTGCCACTCAAAGCTTTATATCGCAAAGATTTTAGGGGCATTGCCACTGCGCCCATCACCCTGAGACATAAGTCGACGAGTCCCATGTGCCTGTAATTTAACCAGCACCCTTACCCTTCCAAACCGGAACGCAATAACGCTCACACAAGCAGATATAAAAGAGTCCTTCGCGTAAAGAAATTGTGCAACCGATGGTTAACGACAGACAAAGTGTAACAGAAATATGATGTAACTTTAACGCACATCGGCGCGTCGGTACTTGGACATCGATTACGAAGATGATCGCACCTTTTTGCCCTTTACGGAGCAGTGCTACAGGAAGGAAGAAGTTTGTACAAGGAGCTAGCGGCTTACTGATGGCACCTACTTCAAAGTGCTCTCTTGGAACGATACAGGCACTTACAGTTTGCTTGTCACAGGTTGATGAAGAGACGATAAAATCATTTATAAAGTCAAATCCATCTAATCACCTGTAACTTTCCAAAACGTGAACAACTACGATTCCCAGAATTTATCCTGCACTTACTTAATTACTTAGACAGTGCTATTACACGGTGAACGAATCATGTTACCGTCTAGTGATAAGGTCAGTTAGAAAATGGAGTGTAATTTCAGTATCTAGTCGTGGACATTCATAGTTATCTATCGATATTTGTTGACGAAAGTTTGTATTGCACTTGGCTGTTAAATAACATTGGTTTTGTTTCGTTTAAAAGTTGTGTTGCAGTCAAGGGGTAATGTTATAGGGACTCAGTATTGTAAGCAGTGCCAGTGGCAGGCTTACAGTTGGTACGGGCCCCACGCGCCACTAGGCGTGTCTCATGAATTATGTGTAGTCAAAATGTAATTAAATGGAGTCAGACCTGTTTCCACGTGGAAAATCATTGTAATTAATTTATCGTGTAGATAATTTTCTCAGTCTTAAACTAGGTACAATAACTTTGAAAACAATTGTAAGAATTCACTGAACCATAAAGACAATGATGAAACAAAGCTTTGCTGGGAAAGGGTCGCGTTTTCTAGGAAGCTGAATAAAGGACGTAAAAAGCGAAATATTCTCGCGACGTTGAGTCCCAGAGTCCGCGAGCCACTCAACCTGCTGGTTGTTTTCGAAATAGAATTAGCAAGAAATCTGAGAATGGTTGGTACTATGAAGATTTAGTAAGTAGGGGAAAATATGGGAAAAATGGACCAGCAACTAAATTGGACCACACTCATATCTCAAAAAGTATTTTTGTAATATTATAAAAATATATTACAATATATTAGTTATGCTAATATATTGCCCAGTGGTATGCGTCTAACTTCATTGCTTATTGGCCATGTTGTTTTTGTTGTGATATTCAAAGTCTGTGTTTTATTTTGAAAAATCTTTTTTGTTATTTTTAATGAAAATTCTCAGTGCTCAGTGTAGTTCATTTAGAGGTAATCATAAAGTGTATGTAACTTACAGCACAGAAGTATAATGTATCTACAATCAATTTGCCGGCATTTATAGGAATTATATTGTGCCGGTAATTATATTGTGAAAAATATACCTATATCTAAAATGAGTTTGAAAAAATGAGTCAAATTAACAGACTTTCCCCTACTACCAATAACGTATCATTTGCACATAGTAACATTGCACTAAGATGTGAACAGGGTTGTAGTTTATATTAAGTAATGTATAAAATGAGTTGTAACTTGTAATATAATATTTAAGTATCTTGTTCACTATTATAAATTGCTTGGCGGCGCAGAGCAGCGTCGGTATATTTGGGAGGCAGTGTCTGAGCCTACCCGGCCTGCTTGAGAGTAAATTACCATGAAATATAAAACCCCCCTTCCTTGCCCCATCTCTCCCTGCCCAGTTCCACTGAGACCAACTTGAATGTAATTTTCATGAAGCTTTATCATTTTTATACATATTTCGTTTTTGAAGAGTTCGTTATGTCTGAAAATATAATAATGTAAGTCACGTAAAACTTACAGTTTTGTACTTTGAGCAAGCAGAATACTAAAACGAGATAGTATCGGTGAGCAGCAGCAAGTTCGAATAAACTAATATACGACAATATTGATACTTGGATACTGGACGTCGGTGTCGTTACAGCAAAAGACGCCGTCATTCCAAGTCGAACTAAATAAAGTTTCGCATCAACTAAACATATACAACTTCTAGTTGCAGTGAAAATGCATTATAACAGCAATTCATTGATATAGCATCGATTTTAAACTAATAAAAGCTGGGAGTACTGAAAACAGTGGAAAAGCGTGGGATTTACAACTATGGTTAAAGTTATTAATATCATAGTATTATGTAACATGTGAAATAATTAGCGCGATAGCAAATGTTACACAACGTGTCACATTGACAGCGTTCTATATTTATTTTAGTTTTGGTTTTTCCTTTTGTATTTAGCACGATTGGGCTTATGATCGTGTGAAGTAGGTGATTTTATATGATGGATAGAAATAAATCTATTATTAAATAAAACTTATCGCTTAATATTCGCAAGAAAGATACAAAAAATGTCGCTGGGCAGTGCTTAAGTAGACATTCACAGAGCTACGAACATCTTACTATCTTACACGCAATTGCAAATTTCGTTTGGTTTGGAAATTATTTGGTGATCAGCAGATTGTAAAAAATTATCTTAATCATCACGTACCAAGGTGTGTTGCAGGTGTGAGTAAGAGTCATGTAGCGCACGCCGAGTTGGTAGTACGCGCGCAGAACGCCCAGCGAGTTGGCTATGGAGTGCCCCCCTTCGATGCCGATCAGCGATGCGATTTTGCGGGGGCGCGCGCTGTGAGCTTGCAGGATGTCTGTCAACATAATTATTATATTAATTAAGGACGTAAATTACTTCCACACTGGATAACACACAATTACATGTACGTATAGTTAATATAATTAAGTCTATTAAGTTATTTTTCCATTCTTATTTGAATGCTGGAACAATTTCATAAAGATCTCGCTTCAGCTGTTTATAACTTCCTACAGATGGTCTTTACATCAAGTCGACTTTCAATTACTCCTTTAGATACCAATATGTGACGGGCGCAAATTTCATCTCAGTGTTCGACTCAATATGCGTATGTGTAGAAGATAAGGAAGTAGGTAATATTGCTTCTATTTTTGCGTCCGGGGTTTATGATCTACTTAACTGTACCAATCTGACAAAATACTAACTGACCGCTTAGAAATCTGTCTTAGTAAAAATGTAACGAAACGCAAATCTGTTTTTCAAGTAAAAAAGGAATATTTTGAATAACAAGCTGCACTCAAAGAGTAATTGTACTATATCTTTTCTGCTTTAACTTGAAGCGTCGTATTTATTTGTTTAGGGCAATTTTGTTTGCGGCAGTTTCCTTACGATTCGCGACCTATAAATAGAAAGCAATTTGATAAATTTTAATAAAGGCTCCACTCTGTCTTGAATCGTCAATTTGATTATAATAAAATACACCGCTATTTTAATAACGACACGACGAATGGGAGATTTCTTTAACGTTCCCTGAAGTCTTTATATAATTTTCTGTAGAGATCTAGGTTAACTCTTTAACGTCCTGTAGTAATTACAGGAAATTACAGGCACTTGGGACTTGTCAACTTATGTCTCAGGGTGACGGGCGCAGTGGCAGTGCCCAGTGAACTTTGCGATTTAAAGCTATGAGTGGCACTGCAACTGTTATGGCCAGCTTATCATCAGGCGCACGACTTGTTCATCCCGTCACTTGATATTTAAAAAAATTATATCAAACAATTTAGTATTATTTAATTATATCCATTTTGAACCAAAGGAAGCTGTATGAATGTATGTGATGTATGGATGGATGTGTGGATGGATGTATGGATGGATGTATGGATGGATGTATGGACTGATGTATGTGATGTTCTTTTTTCCAAGTCACAAACAATGTATAGCACCATCGTTTAGCATACTTTTTAACTACTTTCGAATAAAAATTCATTTAGACCGTTTTTTTTGGTGCATGCCTTTGCGAATGGAAAATTGTTTTCTAAAGGAAATTAGTTTTGCTCATTTTGTTGACTTAGCGACGCGCAGCCGCCGGCCGCCGATGCACCGCCTCTTCAAAACGAGAGTCTAGGCAATTCCGGAATTGCCTTTTTCTTTCAATGGCTATTGGAAGATTTTATAGCAGAAATAGCCAAGTTAACTCTTTCATGGCAATCGCTAAATCGCTTTTTCACTTCTCACGCTTTTGAATTTGTATTTACGATGTACAGAGAAACTATTTTAACAACGTAAATTTAACGTGTTCTATAGTATTGTACAAAAGTGTTTTAGGTAAATATTGTTCTGCACCGCATGGCATAAAGCAACTTTTGTATCAAAACTGGTGTCACCACACACAGACATTCGAAAACGTAATCTTACATTAGTACTAAGGTATCATAACTTTGATTGGTTATAAATTATCAAACGAAAATAGACAATGAAAAAGTTTTGGTAACAAAAATTTAAACTTATTTGGATCTAATAAGGTTTTATTATTACTAGTCCTACTAGTCACATAAAAGCTAAGAATCCTATGAACATAAACTTCTTAGAACAAAAGCAAAAAGTTGACAATCTACAGATGTGACATTTAATTGATATCGACATTGTTTCGTAACTAGCGGAATATTGAACTAGGCATATAAACTTGCTATAATTAGGGTTAACCACGGAGTATGTGGAAACGGCATTTAAAGCGATTTCTTTGAGAACTAGCGTAGCTGAGTTTTACACGCACACATTTGTTACCAAATACGCATAAGGTTTTACTACACGCAAATATTAATTGATATTAGTTATAGGCGAGTACGTATACGTAGCTACATGCTACAATCACAGTATTAATGATTTATTATACTGTCATCGTACTTTCATTAACCTACTAGATTTCAAGTCAATCGGATCACTGGAAGGGTTGAAATATTAAAACACAGTAATCATAAAAATCTTTATTCTAACTGAAATATGATATATTTGTTCAACAATTACCTCTTTCTGAACTGACTGAACATGACTACACCTATAGCGTCGACGAGCTTGTCAAGAAAATGAAGATACTTATTTCCGAAGGCGAAGAGGCGAATCATGTTTATGAAAACTTGACGAAAAATAACTGACAATGCTTCAGAAATGTTTTCACATTGAGATGTGGTCTATAATTTGTGAATAACTCTGAGTTTCATGTCATATATTACCTGACTAACCAAATGATTTACTTCTTAATGAATTTTTCGGTTGTTATTCATATGTATACAATATAATGAGATATCATGAAATGCCTATAGCAAATGGTGCTACATTTAGTAGGTTCCCAGCTTTTACTGCCTGTTGCTTCAGCTCATTTCTCCTTTAAAAAGGATCCGGCGGGAAACTAAAAAATCAATACAAAAACTGCAAATGTAAATCATGGCTGTGACAAAACTAAGAACTCAAACGGATGAAGGTGACGTATAATAAGCAAATAGGGAGATAGGCATCATGTAGATAAGGGAAAGAAAATCTCCAATCTCATAAAGTCTTCATTTGATACTCCACGAACTTACGTGTATAGTAAAATTATCGACACTGTAACTCTTCTATCTATATTTCCTTTTTTTCCAATAATATATCGTTTTTACTTAAATTGAAAATTTAAATAAACTATTGCGAGTGTTAGGACCAAACATTTAAGTAATCAAAATTGTTAGCTTTTAAATACCTGTAAACGATTTATGTTTACACATTGGTACCGCTACAATAAAAAAAATGTTGAACTAAACCAAAACCGGGTTTCTTGATACAAAGTTTCTACATATCGATAATTTGATTACAACACGCGGACCCAGTACCAAGTGTAATACGACACTAGTGCAAGCAATTCATGGAGCGTCATTCAAATAGTTCTTTTGACGGCGGCGATGGCTAGCAACCAATGTATATTGTTATTACCGAGTTGCAAGAAAATAGTTTTTCGAAATTATAGTATTGTATTGTTCAAAATATTAGAAAATACAGAGTTTTAGTACTTACCGATAAAATGAAATCACTCCCGGAGTATTTTTTTATACTTTGGCTTCTTACGCGACATGATATAATGGCACAATTCGGCATATTTCTATTTTTTCCACAAAATAATCATGTATCACATTTGAACGACGACTGACGTGCTGTTGACACTCATATCTGGTCTGGTGATAAGCTAGGTAACGCCGACCCCGCCCACTAACCAGTCTAATACTAGTATTTATGTGGTCTATTTTCTGCACCTACGCCACGCTTCACGTCTATAGTGAAGCACCACGGCTGCTGGTTCACCTGCAGCCGTTGGTTATAAAACGAGTGAACAGTTGTTCTTATTATTATTACGAGATGTGCTTCGCCTAACGAACTAAAGTCAGGTACTATTAGGCACTAGGGACTAAATAATTATTATTTTGTAAGACTAGGAAATAATTTAAAAAAGCATAGATATTCGTGGTTAATCACTAAATGACTATCACTAATTACAGGTTTCTTACCACCATGATTTCTTTTTATTTTACCGATATTTCGGAACTGTTCCACTTGTTGAACTGCTCCATGATTACGGGTTGACTGGCCAGCGGCACATGACAGCTTTAAGAACAGATATATCTGTCTACCCTCTTTCGCTGTCGACGACTACTTTCATCTCGATTACTTGTGGCGTTACAATTGTCACTGACTTTTTTCCGACAAACCACACTCACTGTATCCACACGCGAAACTGAAGCCAAACTATTTTTGTTTTTATTTTTGTAAGCACCGAGAACCGGATTCCACGCACTAGATAGTTTAAATCCATCTTTGTGGTTAAACGTTTGTTACTTTTGTAATCAACCCGTGACCATGGAAAACAACTGTTTCGAAATATCGGGAAAATAAAAGAAATCATAACGTTGTAAGAAATCTGTTATTAGTGATAATCTATTAGAAACAGCCTTCGAAGCGCTATATTAAAAAGAACTAGGCCAATAGAAAAATATAGTTAAGAAACTTTGATGTGACTTTAAAAGTCGTGTTTGCCTACGTATTCGTACACGAATACAAATATAATAACGAGAAATCAGCTTTTTTATTTACAAGTATGTATTACTTACTTCCTCGCAGTCGAAGTAAATTTGAAGTGTTTAACGTTATAGTAAGCTTGCAAACAAGTACCGTGAGCATTTCTACGTTTGTTATAGAATTTACTATTATTCAGCCCAGTTATTTTATATTTTTATAGATTTACACATCTGGAACAATCCTTTACAATATGGTTAAAAGATGGTCGTGTACTTTGAAGATATATCGTCGAACAAAAACGTAGAGTGTTGTTCTTGGCGTTTTTACACGGTTCTTATTGCGTTTAGGTTTTATTTCAATTGCGTATGTGAGTGTGCGATTTATCTCTTTGGGTAGAAGTCTTTAGTAACTTCTACTTCTCAGTACTTGCACTTTGTAGGAGTTTTCAATTAATCACAGAAATACATAGATTGGTATGAGAGCTTTGCAGTATTTATGTTCCCGGCTGTTGCTGCCGCGTCGTGGTCAAATTCGGGCCACCCAACTGCTTCTCTTGCAAATAATTTACTACAAGAGAATAGGAATATATTGTCAGCAGAATAAGCCCGACTTTGAGGACTTATTAGGGCACATGCGCACAGGATAGACGAAATCACAATACACTTGTATGATGGAATAATAAATGATAGCGACACTCTCTTTACAAAATTTAGTACAACATCTACTCGCAGCCTTAGAGCGACTTCAGATATTCAGAAAGAAATCCTGGATAAGGTGTTTCTATACTAGTGGCCGAACATATTCACAAACGTGACTAAACGATTCAGTTGTTACTTTAAGGAAATCCATGTAAAAAATTGGAGTGAATGTTAAATTGTGTAAAATAGCTGCTCTTGTTTTGTATATTCAACATAAGCGCAGTTATTAAGCACGATTAAAATTTTGCTGTGTTCGCGGAGTAGCAAATTGATTTACCCCCATTTTTATTTTGTGTAATTATGGAAGTTATATTATTGTGAGTGCATTACCGGTGACGGAGGTGGCCAGCTGCATGTGTTGCGGGTACTTGTCGACGAGGCGGCGGATGACATCGATTTGCTCCAGCGTCAGCTGCACGGCATCCTTGTTCTGCGTTGCGCAGGGCACAAACGCTGACCAGAACTGCAACAATATGCATCATTAGACCAAATGTCGTAGAATAAAACTTCAACAATGCCACGATTGGAATGAATATTACATTTTTTCATGTCATTTCACTATAATTTCATTTACATCACAAGTACGTCATCTCATTTCATAAACGAAAAATTTCTAGAAATTATAACAAACTTTATATAATAAACTTTTGTTACCATACATTTGTTTACATATTGTTAGGTACACGCCATAGTGTACCTAACAATATGTAAACTTGGAAATACATACTAATTTGTTCCTTTTTCTCAAGCTTACTTTATAAGAATCTACTTTATTCAAATAAGTGCCTGTAATTTCTCATAAATTTCAACATGCTGTCGTTAATGTATAATCTAACAAAGTGTGGTCTACGAGTATAATTATGTTCCTGTGATATTTACCAATATGCTTACGCATTTTTTGCAGAATAAAACTTGTGCGATGTACCATGAAATGCCACCACAAGTAACCATGCAAGCACATGAGCATGGTATGTTGTCATAGCCGTTTTTAAACACAGTACATTTTTAATTCGTACGTGAATTGATATTATTTTCCGGACACATTATCTAATGATCATGTCTATTTATAAGTGAGTTGATTGATATGTTCTAATAAATTACACAAATAAACAGACGTTATTTCACGATTTTTATATAATAAGGGATTAACTAGGATTACTTTATTGAGTTCTTAGGTTTTCGCGATTGATACACATAGGAAATGAAACTATTTTTCAGGATTAAATCTCTCATGTCCCACTAGTCAACCGTGACCGCGGGACCTGTAAAGGGCCCGAAACGTAGGTTTGTTTGAAAAAACAAATATACGCGATTTAAATCCGGAAAAATAGTTTCATTTCCTATAGGATTACTTTGGTTTAAGTAAAGGTTAATTTTAAAGTATGGTCCCATTTTTGTTTTAATTTATCACTATCGTTACATAGAAAAAAATCTGCTTAAAATATGCTCTTAGTAGATACCTAAAAACCATCTACTATATATTATATTATCTACTATAAACCATCTACTATATACTATATTGTGGCTTCAAATAGGTCAATATTTATACTGCCTCAGTGGCCGAACGGTTCCCACGCCGGACTGCCACGCAGAGGTCCCAGGTTCATTTCCCGGGCCGGGAGAAATAATTGTATGGCCTACATTTATTTATCTCGTGAGTTTGGGTGCAGTTTGTGGTTGTCTATGTGTATGTTCATGGCACCCGCGACACAGTGTTTCCCTAGTGCGGGGCTATGTTGAGTGTGTGCGCTATTTATTATTATTATTTATTAACATTTTTCTCATATCTAATAAAAAATACTAAGTCAACGATCTTATACGTGAGGCGCACTATAAGTTTCCGGAATGAATAAGAAAAAATACTATAAATGGTCAGAAATGAATTTATTGTTTCTCAAATTATTCTCCGTTAGCGTTCGTTAATGCATTTTTTCGTAACTATAAATCCATGTTTCGTCACCTGTTACTATGTCCCACACCAAATTTGACGCCCCTTCGTTGAATCTGGTAAGCATTGCACCAAGTGACGCGATCTGTTTTTTGGGCCTCAGTTAAATTGTGTGGGATCCAATGAGAGCACAGCTTTTTCACATCCAAATGTTTGTGTAGTATTGATTGTATTTGTCTCATGTGCCTAAAAATGGCCGAATCTCATGGTATGTCATTTATCGCCAAAAGCAGTTTGATGCCGAGCGAACCCCCGCAGATCTGTTAAATTGCGCTTAAAATCGTAGAAAACCATACTACGAAAATTTTCACGAGTTAAATCCATGGTGATGTAGACAACCAATTTCTAAAATGACGCCACAATGTAAAAACAAGTGACAGTCAGATGAAACAAACTGTATTCTACGGCCAAAGAGTTCCATTTTCAAATGTTGTAATTACTTTTTAAATATTGTTTATGTAATTGGCTAGTTCCGGAAACTTATAGTGCCCCCTACGTACACGTATATAAGATCATTGTACTAAGTATATTGTTCAATGTCTAATAACTGTTACCTAACGATTTTCATAAATTATCACAGTGCAGTAGTTGGTAGTAAACCGAGATATTCAATTATGAAATTACTCCACGCTTAGTGTGTCATAATTTTTTTTTTGATACCCAGTGACGGGACAAACAAGTCGTGCGCCTAGTGGTAAGCGACTAGCCTGTCCATACAAGTTGCAGTGTCTCTCAGATAAATAAAATCTCTTAAGATCTCAAGGGCACAGCACTGAACCCTCACCCTGAGACAAATTGACAAATCCCATGTGCCTGTAATTTCACCAATTACCTTTCAAAACCGAAACGCAGTAATGCTCACATTTATTTATTTATTTATTTATTTAAACTTTATTGTACAATACACTGAAGTACAAATGGCGGACCTAATGCCATAAGGCATTCTCCACCAGTCAACTATTGGGCCAAACAGAAAAAAAAACAGAATAGGTTGGTGCTACACTTAAACAAGAAGAAATAGAAATACTAGAAAACTAATCGATAATTTGTATGGTATAAATAAATAACATACAATAAACATACTTATTATACATACATAATAAACTTACATATATATATTATAATAATAAATAATATGATATAATATGTACCCAAAGCAACATTAAACAGTGTCTTAATTTTGACAATTGTCAAACAGATGCTTGCTCAACATGCGCTTGAAAGATAATTTGGTCTGAGCTTGTCTTACATGGAGCGGGAGCGCGTTCCAAAGACGAATTGCATGAAGGGTTAAAGAATTAGACAAAAAATCAGTGCGATGAGAAGGAATGGAAAGCTTAAGGCTACGGGAAGTTCGAAATTCGCAACCCGGCCGAGCGTTTTGAAATTGAAATGAACATTTAAGATAATCAGGTGCAGCCGGGTCGAACAAGATGGAGAAAAGATTGGTTAAAATTCTTAAGGACTGCGTTCACGGATGGGAAGCCAATTTAGTTGACGCCGACAAGCAGAGATATGGTCATACTTCCGCAGACCAAAAATAAACCTAATGCAGTTGTTAAGAAGACGATCTAATCTATTCAAAAAGACTTGAGAGATGTTACTGTAACACACGTCAGCATAATCAATCACAGGCAACACTAGAGCTTGAACAAGGAGAGTTTTGGTTTTAATTAGTAGAAAGTTCTTAAACCTGTATAGAGCTCTTAGTGTATCTGTAACCCTACGACAAACGTCAGACACCTGGGAATCCCACGTAAGGCCTGTGTCAATAATAAGCCCCAGGTTCTTTACCTGATTTGACAGAGGAATCACTACGTTCTCAAACATTATTGGTGGCACGCGCGATAGATCACAAGACGAAAAAAGGCGTGAGCTTCCAAGGATGATGGCTGGACACTTGGAAGGATTGACATTGATACCAAACCTTTGGGACCAAACCGAGACGCGATGAAGGTCATCATTAATTAATACAATTGCATCACTTATGCCACCGATATTAACCTCGGTATAAAGCTGCAAATCGTCGGCATACAGGTGATAAGAACATTTGATGCTGGACGTAATCAGATTTATGAAAATAGAAAACAAGAAAGGAGAGAGAATTCCGCCCTGGGGTACTCCGGAAGTGAGTTTACACCATTCTGAGAACGAGCGATCAATACGAATCGCTTGTTGGCGATCGCGGAGATAAGAAGAGAACCATTGAGCTGCCATTGAAGAGATGTTTAGGTGGTCTAAGGTAGCAAGGAGAAGGTCATGATCCATGACGTTGAATGCATTGGAGAAGTCAATTAGGACAAGCACAGTAAGTAGAGTACAGTCCATGCCCCTCCTTACATCCTCAACAATCTTTAGCAATGCAGTAGAAGTACTATGACCTGGTCGAAAACCTGATTGAAATGGAGAAAGGATATTGTTTGAGTAAACATAGGCAGACAATTGTTTGTGAACGACAGCCTCTAAGACTTTAGAAAGAAAAGGAAGAATTGAGATGGGACGGTAATGCTTGAGGAGGCTGGGGTTAGTAACTTTTGGAAGAGGGATTACATGAGCATTTCGTCACAGAGAAGGAAAAGCCCCAGTCATCATCGAGAAATTAACTACGTGCGTGATAATAGGGAGTATACATTCTAAAATACACATAACCATAATTCTACTTACGTCATCGTGCCCAACAGCATTAGATTTGATTGACAAAACCACTTTCCTGACCTCATCTTCAGTTACTGAGGTGAAAATAAAAACAGAATTTGAAATTTTGGGCAGTGCTCTAATAAATGCAATACTTTGCTGTTTGGTGTTGGTGTCTAAAGTTGCAGTTTTGGCAAAGTGAGTATTCAGCTCATTTAAGGAGAAGGAAGAAGTTATATTGTACGAACTTTGCGGTTTACCTACACCAATGGATTTTAGGTATTTCCAGGTGTTAACGGGGGAAGAATGTAAAATATTTTCATAAATATGTTTACGTTTGGCTGCTCTTACCATTTGATTACACCTATTTCTTGCAGCTTTAAAACAGAGCCAATTTTCCTCACATCGGTCGCGCTTGTATCTCCTAAACGCACGATCTCGTCTTGTCATTGTAATACGGACTGCTCGAGTTATCCATGGCGCAGGAGGGCGCTTTAGTTTGACAGATCGAATTGGCGCGTGAGTGTCAAAAAGTTTCAGAACTGCGGAGTTTAGTGAAAACACCGCCTCATCAACTGTTGGTGCTGACAACGTAGGGCCCCAATCAAAAGCCTGCGCGTCTTTTTTTAACACTTCCATGTCAAGTCTCGCGAAACTACGTAGTTGAATTGTAGCAGGCGTAGCCTTAAGTGGTTTAATTTTGTAGCTCAAATAAATGAGGTCATGCCGTGAAAAACCTGGTGCCTAAAATTGTCCAGCCTTACCTACGTGATCAATAGAGGAGGCAAGTATAAGATCTAGCCAGGTATCCGACGCGTCTACGTTGTGATGAGTAGGCTCAAGAGGTAGAATGGTTAAAGCTACAGATTCAATCACTGCTT